AGAAACTATTCTTCTTCTGCAAATTGAAACTTGAATGAATTGCATTACTTCAACCAAAAAACAAAGACAAATAAGAAATTCATAGTGTTGCAAATTTAAGTTTGAAGAATAAACTACTACTCTTTATGTTTATTATTGTTTTTGGTATATCTTCACAGTGTAGTTTTTGGTATATCTAACTTAGTATGTTTATTGTTTTTGTAGAACTTTTATTCGGCTCAATTGACCTTAACAAATAAAGTCAGCCTGACCAAAACAATTGCGTCGAAGCTTTCACATGCACAAAGAAAAATGTTTGAGGATACTTGCTTCGGGCCATGGCTGAAAGTACAACATCCCGGTGGAGATGCGATGTTGACACACTTGTTTCTTCAAACCATGACTAGGGATCTACCAGATACTATACAACGTCGTGATGAAGAGATATGGTTTGATTTTCCACCGGCGTATATGTGTTTTGGGCGGGAGGAGTTTTGCTTAATCACCGGTCTACGCTTCAGACACGATGATGTAGGTCGGTACACTAGACACATTACCCGCCCATCATGGTTATCCCGGGTTTTTCCTGAGCTGGAGAGGCCGAATCTACACGTGGAAGACCTGACGATATTATTGAATAAGAAAAATGGTTTTACTCGGATGGATGACGTCGATGTTATCCGAGTATGCCTTATAATACTTTTGCATGTCGACTTTTTAGGCAGAGAGGCCAGACAACCTATTCCGAATGATCTAATCAAATTGGTAGAAGACCTAAATACGTGGAACCTGTTTCCGTGGGGCTCGTATTTATGGAAAGCTACATGGAATAAGTTATCGTCTGCCTTGGATGATCGAAAAAGTTTGCATGGCGATGGTTCCAAATACACTTTGACAGGCTTTATTTGGGCCTTTAAGGTAAGAATTTTTATATAATGTTTCCAAAATTATAAGTAATTATTTAACAATTACTAATGTTTGTTATTATATTGTTTGTAGATTTGAATATTTGAGGTCTTTCCCGCCATGAAGACATATGCAATAAAAACTTCAAATGATATTCCCAGGGCTATTTCCTGGAAGAGGAAACGGACCTTGCAATGGGAAGATTTACTACGGTATACTACAATAAATAATGTAAGTTAACATAAATACTATCATATGTTTATAAACAAGTTATTACTAGTACACGTTTAACTTTGTTTGAGCTTTTATATTGTTAGGAGGCCAACACTCCATTACAGAGGATGACACCCACGGAAGCTGAGCTTGCCACTGATTGGTGGCAAGCTAGTAAGCGTTTTTTTGATGGCACGGATGATGAGCAACCTCCACTTCGGGAGCCATCACCTCACCCAGAGCTATCACCTCACCCAGAGCCATCACCTGATCGACCCAACTATACACCTCCACAACGACAGCCATCACCTATTCTATCACATCATCGAGCCTCTTCTCCACCATCACCGCAAGATAGGCGACCGACAAAGATGCCACGATGTTTATCTCCCTGTTCTCCACCTCCACCTCCACGGGATGAGTTAGGAGAGTTACGTGATGAGGTCAATTCCTTGCGTGAGGAGGTCGGTACTTTACGCAAAGACGATGGTGCATGGCGTGTTAAGGTGTCTACTTTACGCGGTGAGGTAGCCGCTCTACATGAGATGGTAGCATCGTTGTAGAATGAGGTTCATACTCTACGCAACGAGGTAAGTTTAAGATTTTTCATATTTAACTTGATGATAAATTTACTCGTAATTTCACTTAGATTAACCATTTCACTTAGATTGCTTAATAAATTCATTCGGTTGCTGTCAATACTGCTAAACTATTTTTGTTAGTATTTGTTTTTGGTTTTGTTTTTGTCTTTTGGTTGAAGTAATGCAATCCATTCAAGTTTCAATTTGCAGAAGAAGAATAGTTTACTTTCGCAACACGAAAATGACTATCGCAACGCGGAAATGGCTATCGCAATGCGAAATGAAAATCGCAACGACAAAATCGCAATGCGAAATGAAAATCGCAACGCGAAATGAAAATCGCAATGCGATTTACTTATTCGGATTGCGATTTTGTCGTTGCGATTTTCATTTCGCATTGCGATAGCCATTTCCGCGTTGCGATAGTCATTTTCGTGTTGCGAAAGTAAGTTTCGTGTTGCGAAAGTAGACTATTCTTCTTCTTAAATGTTTATATATGTTGTCCTTTTAAATGTTTATATAAGTGCTTACTTCTGGAATGTTATCTGATGCATTTTGTGAACTATGATAGAATAATGACTTGGGTGAATACAATGCAAGTTTGAAACATATTTGTCTTTGTTTAATATCAGGTGATGGCTCTGGGTGAGGTGATGGCTCTCGAAGTGGAGGAAGTGGAGGCTACTCATCATTCGTGCCATCAAGAAAACGCTGACTAGCTTGCCACCAATCAGTGGCAAGCTAAGCCTCCGTGGGTGTCATCCTCTGTAATGGAGTGTTGGCCTCCTAAAAATATATAAACTCAAACAAAGTTAAACGTCTACTATTAATAACTTGTTTATATATGTTAGTATTTGTGTTAACTTACATTATTTATTATCGCATATGGTATTAAGTCTTCCCAATCCAACAGACGTTTCCTCTTCCAGGAAATAGCCCTAGGAATATCATTTGAGGTTTTTAATGCATATGTCCGCATGCTGAGGAAAACCTCGAATATCCAAATCTACAAACAATATAATAACAAACATTAGTAATTGTTAAATAATTAATTATAATTTTGAAAACATTATATAGAAATTCTTACCTTAAATGCCCAAACAAAGCCTGACAAAGTGTATTTCGACCCATCGCCCCCGCAAACTTTTGCGGTCATCAAAGGCAGACGACAACTTAGTCCAGGTAGCTTTCCATATATACGAACCCCACGGAAACAGATTCCATGCATTTAGGTCCTCTACCAATAATATTAGCTCATGAGGAATAGGTTGTCTGGCCTCTCTTCCTAAAAAGCCGGCATACAAAAGAAGTAGAAGGCATACTCGGACAACATCGACGTCATTCATCCGAGTAAAACCATCTTTCTTATTAAACAATTTCTTAATGTCGTCGACGTCTAAGTTCGACTTCTCTATTGACTCATCAAGAAAAACACTGGATAACCATGATGGGCGGGTGATATGACGAGTGTACCGGCCTACATCATCTTGTCCGAATCGTAGACTAGTGATTAAGCAGAACTCCTTCCGCCCAAAACAAGTATACGCCGGTGGAAAATGAAACCATATCTCTTCCTCACCACGTTGTATACTGTCGGGTAGATCGCTAGTCATGGTCTGAAGACACAAATGGGGTCAAATTAGCATCTCCACCCGGATTCTATACTCTCAGCCATGGCCCGAAGCAGGTTTCCTCAAATAATTTTCTTTGTGCAGGTGAAAGCTTCGAAGCAATTGTAGTGGCTAGGCTAACTTTATTTCTTAATGTCAATGAAGCCGAAAAAAATTTCTACAAAAACAATAAACATACCAAGTTAGATATACCAAAAACTACATTGTGAAGATATACCAAAAACAATAAACATAAATAGTAGTTTATTATTGAAACTAAAATTTGCAACACTGTTTTGTCTTTTGGTGAAATGAAAATCGCAACGAGATAATGAAAATCGCAACGCGGAAATGACTATCGCAACGAGAGAATCGCAACGCGAAATGACTATCGCAACGAGAGAATCGCAACGCGAAATGACTATCGCAACAAGAGAATCGCAACGCGAAATAAAAATCGCAATGCGATTTTGGTTTCGCGTTGCGATTATCTCGTTGCGATTTTCATTTCGCGTTGCGATAGTTATTTCCGCGTTGCGATTTTCATTCTCGAAACTATTCTTCTTCTGCATTACTTCAACCAAAAGACAAAACAAAGACAAATACTAACTTCACATGCTAAACAGTTTAGCAGTATTGGCAGCAATCGAATGAATTTAATAAGAAAGCTAAGTGAAATGGTTAATCTATTATTGAAATTACCAGTAAACTTATCATCAATTTCAATATGAAAAACCTAAAATAATGCAAAAATTTCAAAATAAAAATAATTAAAAAAACTAACCATCGGAGGTTGATTTTCCATTTCTGAATGATTGTGAGGGATTTCTGACCGTGAATGGTTGTGAGGGATTTCGCCGGCGATGGGGACGGAAATCTTCGGAGATGGGGACGGATTTCGCCGTAGAGAGTGAAAGATGGAGATGAGACTGATTGTTGTGATTTTAGGTTTGAGGTTATGAGTTACGATTACTGTGGGCGGTTCAGTTTCCGATATATTAAGAAAAAAATTCGCGTTTGGAATTTGAAAAAAAAAATACGCGTTAATACGAATGGCGCTATGTAAATCGCATTGCGATAGTAAGATGCGCATTGCGATTTACGTATTCGTATTGCGATTTTCCTAATTCGCATTGCGAATTGGGAAAATCGCAACGCGAAATTGGAAAATCGCATTACGATAGTCATAATCGCGTTGCGAATCTGGAAACTGATTTGCGATAATGGAGATCGCGTTGCGAATTAGCGATCGCATTACGATTTTGTTGGTCATTTTGGTAAATCCGAAAAAAATAGTTAAAATCGTATATTATATAGAATTTTTGGTCACTTAGGTTATTTTCTATTATATTAATATTTTATTTAAATTATGTATCTATATATATTTTTAAAAATATTTTTTTTTATTAATCGACCCTCAATTTAATTGGGCGACCAAAATCTAATTAAAGTACACGTGCCTGCCGCTTGCCGGCTATTACCATAAGCCACCACCATCTGTCAAGTGCCAACACGCGTCTTATTCGCCTGATCGCTGCTTTTTTTACGTTGAACTGGAGCTTTCTTTGTTTCCTTTTTTTTTAATATCGTCACTGTTAGTATGAATTGGTTGGGGAAACGGTTGCCGAGTCATTTTCTCTTTATTTGAATCCTATTTTAAGCTATTGGGTTGTATCCATCATCTGATAAGAAGATTTGAAGTGCCAAGAACTGAATAATAAAGATTTGATATTTCAAAAATTAATCTTGGAAATAAAGTGATGGTTAATCTTGATTGAGAGGAAACACCAAAAACATCTAGGATAATGTATAATATTTTCCTCTAGGTTGCTAAAATAGAACACAAATTACTGTCGTTATTTACATCAGAGTAAGGATTAAACCGTGGCTAAAAAGATTAGAAAATACACGGATTAATATCAGTTTTTTGTTTTTTTTTCTAAGCTTCCTACGTCTTCAGATGTAGAGGATTAAGATGACGCCGTAAAAAAGATTGAAAAATGTCAAGCATCGACCGGAGGAGGAAGATTGAGGTCGAGAGCAGGGGCTGGTATCTTTGCCTTACAAGGACTGGCCAATGAGGAGTCCGGTTCACTCCGGTCAACGCCGGCGAATTCCAAACCCAACTGAACACCGACAGGCTCGAACCGAACGGGATAAACTCGAGAAACTCCTTCAGCTCCCGCCAACGCTTCGAAAAAGAGAACCGGCCGCGACTGAGCCACACCGCCAAACCTACCATTGGCAACTCCACCAGTCAGAGCCAGCTGCTGGTGGTACGCGAAAGGGAATCTAGATACTGCTCCGGTCACAGTGTTGAGTTCACGCGCCACCGTTGGGCTGGACGATTCCTCGACCGTGCTGCTTTGGCTAGGGCTCTGCTGGTTCTGGTTCTGGTTCTGGTTCCGGATCTTGTTGTCACTCACGTAGTTGATAATTTCATCCGGTAAAGGAAAGTTGGTCTTAGCCTTAGGTCCACGAAACTCAAGTGCCGCCGCATCATAAGCTCTGGCAGCTTCCTCAGCCGTATCAAAAGTACCGAGCCAAACACGGCTCTTCTTGCCGGGATCCCTGATTTCGGCGGCGTATCTCCCCCATGGCCTCTTCCTTACACCCCTAAAATGCACCTCTTTGTTGCTGTTAACATTTCCATTAACGTTTGCTTTCATCAAGATTTTGCTTCCACTTTTGTCTTTGGGAGCCATAGCAACAGCTTTCTTTCCCCCTTTGTTTTGCTCTGAGTCAAATGCGTGTGGATCAGTCTTAATAAATAGAAGCAGGAGCAGATGACAGAAGCTACAAAAGGGAGAAGCGCAGTGGACACGCGTCGCTTCATCTGTGACTTTGATCCTAAGCTCTTCTCTCTCTTAACTGTCGGTGTAGGAAAGTAAATTCCGAATATTAGCTGATACTGTCAGTCACTTGAATTGATCATCAGTCATCACTTAAAAGCATCGAAGGAGGGTTGTCATTTTTCCCCACTTTCCCAAAACGGTCGTGCTCAACGCGCTCCCCACTAACCCATAAATAGTAGATTTATTAATTAATTGAATTTGAATTAGTATCATTGGATTGGGGTATACGTGGGCTGTTGGAGGTTGAAACTTGAAATTAAGTGGAGAGTGAAATCCACTCAAAAAGGGAAAAGCGTGAAGGGAAAGTGCAAAGCGGTGAATGCAAAAGCCGGCATAACATCAACTACCTCGCCGCTTGTCTCGAAATTTCCGCGTGACACAAACACTCGTACAACGTATCGCATTGTCTCCTAACTTGGGCGGCGCCTCAGTCAAACACCTAATTGACTGCACATCTCCCTAACTCTGTATATGTGGAATTGAAATCATTTCGGTCATTAGATTAGGATCTAAATTTAATTATATAATAGCTCCTCAAATTATAATCTTTATTTTAAATTAGTCTCTAAATTTCAAGATATTTTATATCAATATTCAAACTATGATTTGATTCTAAATTGATCTTTAAACGTTAAAATATTTTATCCCAATCCTCAAATTACAAGGGTTATTTCAATTTGATTTTTTTAACATATAGTTAACTGCTAGTTTAAAAAACCATTTTGTTTTTGAAGGTCTTGATAATCAAACTTGAGAGATGTTAGACAATATATTTCAAAGATAACTCTTAAAATATTAATGACATATATATTTCTTTTTGTTAGTTTAGAAATCTCTTACACAACTCTTAAAATATTAATGACGTGTATTTCAATTTATGTCAAATTTTTTTTTATTAATCGGGATAAGCATAAGATAATATTTGTTTAAAAATAACTCTCAACCATTTGACGTTGAACACTCGTGCTCTTGACATTCATAGTGCTCAAATCGAAAAACTCATAGAATAACAACAATCAGTTTATTATTCAAGTAATTGGGTTCATGCATGTAGATTTATTTATCAAATGTTAGTTTGAATTTGATTTTGACGGGGGCAAAGGCATTGTGATTCTTAGAAAGGGTCAATTACTTTTAAATCCATTAAATATTTGAGAAATTACAAATTAATAGGATGATAAAATTATTTATAATTTAAGATATAATTTAGTTCTAGCCTCCCTAAATTTTATCGAGAAAATATAAAATAACAAAAAATATTTTTTAATAAATATTTTATTGCATTACACTTTCCAATCAATAAGCATTGATACCTTCTTATGGAGCCATATCATATTGACTGATTACATTAATAATGGACAGACGGTGTTTTTTTAAAAATAATATAATTAATGTTCAAAATCAAATAAACCAAAAAATAAAAATCTAACCAATTTCACCTCAGATTCAATATCTTTCGACAATATAAAATGGGCGGCATTGTTCTGGCCCGGCAGCATGTGACCGTCATTAAATGATCAGCGTGTCCAAAATACTGAACATCTGCTTTTGAAGTAGTCATGCCAATAGCACAAGCCTTAGCCTAAGCAACAGCCTATACATAATAGAATTGAATTTTCTCGCAATTTAGGTGGAGTCGGTCAAGTGAAGTAAATTACACTGCTACGCCTTGGGCTGAATTTTGCAAAGACCAATTATTTGTAATGCAAAGTGAAGCATGACGTTATGTTGGGTCCTGCATTTTCTTCTTCATGCTCGAATAATTTGTGACGGTAATAAACTTAAAATTTTATATGAAGTTTTTAATAATATTTTTAAAAATTAAATTATATAAAAAATTAAATTTTAGAAAATGATCACTTCCGGTCGTTCTTCGATCTATCTCCATGGGTAATTGGGGTGGTGGCAAATGGCGTCTCAATACAAAGAATAAGGCAGGGTTTTGCAAGTTTTAGGTGAAATTAAATATCTACTTGGCTCAACTCTTCAACCATAATGTCGTTGAGTTTGGTCAGCTAAATGAAGGTCTTAAATCATCGTTAACCAAAACAAAAAAACGCCTACTCCCTCGTCCTTGTCAACTAATCTCCGATTTGCCGTCCGAAAATATTAATAATTGCATATATTATTCATCATAATTGACGGGTTAAATACAAAAAAACGTTGATCCATTTTGCATTTAATGATATAATTTTCTATTTCATCTAGACTTAGACCGACAATTATGTATATATATATATATATTCTTATTTATTATTAGCTTTTTAACAATCGAGGTATATCTTTCACAGAAAATACCTTATAAACAATTTGATATTAGTTTTTCATCACATACTATTAAAAAAATTATCTAATATCAATAAAAATGATTAATTTTCAGGTATAATGACAAAAATTCTCCTAAGCTCAATTCAATAGTCATTTTGAGCCGTATTTTTTTAATATTTTGGCCATAGCATTTCATTTTTAGACAAAAAGATCATACGTCAATAAAAATCATTAGTTAATAAATACTTAACGATATAAAATATGAGTCTTTTTGCCTTAAAAATGAAATATTGAAGGCTAAAATGCTATAAGGAAAAATAATAAGAGGTGAAATAACTATTTAGTCAATCGTTAATGGCTAAAATACTAAAAAAACCAAACCAACATGATTTCTTTAATCGACATTTTCAATATTATGTTTTTTTAACGTACATGCTTGATTTTTTTTTGCAAGTTCTAAATATAATCTTAATTATATTTAGAGGGGAGGGGAATGAGAGATTCTAGGAAAAAGAATGAGAATGCTCCTACTAGTGAATTTATAACTCATGACCTAAGAAAATAGGTGAGAACAAAAATAGACAAATTATTCAACCAACCAAATATACTTACTCTATATGATTTTAAAAAATAAACAATTAATCTCATAGTTACGGCGAAAAAAAAGTGAACCATCATTTACACCTAATAATTTAAATTATCCAAATAATTTAGTTTAAATACAGTTATAATAAATAATTCTACCTTAAGCGCGGGACCACACCACATATAATAAATAATTCTAGTTTAAATATAGTTATAGAATACAGTGATGATTTTTCAGACATATATATATATATATATATATATATATATATATATATATATATATATATATATATATATATATTGATAATAGAATTTTTTTGTACGAAAACATTAATAAAAACTTAAAGATAAACATTTTTAATAAAGTAAATAATAAATATAAAAAAATTAATTTTAAGCATATCTATTTTAAAATATATTTATATCAACCGCTAGCTGCCGTGTGATATATATTTTGTACCACGTGTCAATTTTATATTTTTTATTAAATATATTTTTACTCGTTCATCTTAACATGTCACCCTCGATTGTATGATAAGTCAACATCCATGCGACAGTTGTGCGAATTGCATAATCAAAATTTATATGAGATTAAAAAATTTGCATATTATCTAAGAAGATAAATTTATATGAAATTAAAGAATGTACGTATTGAAAAATCAAACACATAATGTTCGACATATAAGACGATAAATAAATAAGATACAGTAGACGAGTTCAAACCTTGTAAATGGTTGGACCAACGATAAAGGAAAAGCAAGATGGGCCTTTCCATTTTTCTTACCGTTGTGAGGAGAGGTCCCACTTTCCCTTTCCTTAAAATTCCAAAAGAGAAATCAAATATTCTCCAACGGCTCTTTCCATTTCTTCAACAATCCCTCTATATTTCTTCAACGCAACCCCCAAGATTCCTCGTCGCATCTTTTAATTCTTCGACTTTTCTCTCACCGGTTCCCGGAAATTTAGCTCGTAATAAATTCGAAGAAAATCAGCAATCTATCAAATAATGGATCCCATTTCGACCCCACCTTCAAACGCTCAGTCCAAATCAGCATCTCGTCTACCAAGAATCGGCTACTCCGTTGCTGAATCCGGAGAACCAGAAAGACCAAATATCCCACTTCTTTCTTTGGACCACATTTCGCCTTCCCCCAAGAAAGTAATTACTCCAGCTTCACCGTCCCCTCTTCCTCTTAGATCCTCTACCAGCTCTTTGCCTCTCCACGAACTTTTGCTTCTCTCCCCTGCGAAAATCAAGAACCCGACTTGCCGATAGGATCGAAATGGCGGAGGAAGTTTCCGCGGCGGAGCACGGTGGTGGTTGTCGTAGGAATCGCAAAACCAGGGCTGCCCAGACGGGTGGTTTGGGATATGGGACCCCTAAGAACAGTAGAAGGTCGAGGAGGAGGATGGAGGTGGAATTGAGAGAAGACAGGAATTTGGTTTTGGGGGAGGAGATGATGAAACCAAGGAAAAGAAGGAGTAGCGGGAAACCGAAGAAGGAGAAACCCAGTTCGGTCCCTTCTCTTTCTTCTTCGAGTTTGTCCCCAAGTATGCATATTTCCCTATGTTTTTCTTTCTATGTATCTTGGTTTTTGGCTTCTTTTGTCTCTTAATTCTTGACATTTCGTTGGGTTTTAATGGTTTTAGAAGCTGATGATTGAGAAAAGAGTAATCTTGACCGGATCGGGGAGATGATTACTGATATGGTCAAGTGGACGGATGTTGCAAAATCAAGTCTCTGGTTTGGATTCGGATGTCTGTGCTTCCTATCTTCTTGCTTTACCAAAGGTGTTACTTTTAGGTAATATGTCTCCTGCTCTTTTCATCTTCCATTGATTTTCATTTTGCAGTTTTACACTAACTCTGACATTTTTCTTCATGCCTGTAGCATTTTCTATGTGCTATCCCACATTGGTCTTCTGTTTTAGGCGTTCCTTCTTCTCCAACTCAGTGTGTTATAATGTTGAGAAGAGAAATGAATTCAAGCTGAAGGAAGAAGATTTTCTGACACTAGCTAAACTGGTACTTCCAGCTACAAATCTTGCAATTTCAGTGATAAGAAAAATCTTCTCCGGGGAACCATCCATGACCCTCAAGGTGATTACCAAAATAAAAATTTCCCTTATTGGTTGATGATGATACCAAAATGGAAAACTATATATGAAGCATGATTTTCTTCTGATTGCAGGTAGCTCCATTGTTTTTCCTCGGAGCCGAGTATGGCCACATTATAACCCTGTGGAGACTTTGTGCATTTGGTATATAATTTTTCATTGAATCTCTGTTAATGAAGTTTGTGTTTATCTAAAATTTTGATGCGGAATCATTGTTTGCATTGGAGCAGGATTTTTTATCAGCTTCACCATGCCAAAACTGTAACACTTGTTACTCTGGCCCGATAAACCAGAAGGGTATGCAATTATACCACCCAACATTTGAAGATTTTTTCTGGTATTTGAAATTTAGTGATGGAAATGAATTTGTGGGTATGCAGCTGAGTACATGAAACAATTGGCCATCGATGCATGGAGAGCTTGCTCTCATAAAAAGCTTGTGGCAGCTTCGGCAGCGACAGTCTTTTGGAATCTCTCTAGTGTAAAAACCCGTATTTTCACCGGTAAGTTGAATATATCAATCAAATCATGTGTAAGGTTGTTTTCATCCTCTATTTTGGCTAACTTTGATGATTCTTCTCACAGCGTTCATAGCTGTGGCAATAATCCGGTATTGCCGGCAACATCTAGGGCAAGACTCGGTTAAAGGGGAGACCGAAGAAGTGGAATGAGAGCAGTCACAGATGGCGTTGGTGGTGGCAGGAGGAATCAAAGAAAAACTAATTTGGTTCTCTAGTCATTCTAAATGAAGTAGGATTTTCCCAATAAACACTAACATGATGCATTCTTGTTGACATGTATAATAATAAGGCATTCGTTTCTTTTGTTTTTGTTCACTAAACCAAACTAACCTCTAACCTGCTCCATCGAACGTCTGATCCAAGTATAGGAGTGTTACAAAAAAGTAGTAGCAGTTTTTAGGAGCCAAAGTGTAATGTCATCTACTGGTCTAGGTAGGTTTGGCAAGACTAGGAAACTCAACTTGGCTCTTTACCAGCTCAACTTCCATGTTATAAACAGACACTCTCTTAGAAGGGAGAATTGTGTTGGCATTAAACTTACTCCGCTGCTAGGATTATTTGTCACACACAATCATTACAAGCTTGATTGAATAGAAACTGTAACTAAGCTCCTTATTGATTGTGTTGATTTTTTTTTGGATAATTCATTTCTTATTACCCAAAGAGCATAAAACTGCACAAAACAATCATAATTCTGATTACAAGATCGCCCTAACTCAAAAAAATAACCGGCAATCAAACAAAACTCAACTATCCACAATGATTACAAAGAGTAATATTACACACTCTAATCTATTTATATTTCTACCCCTCAAGTGTAACCCAACAATTTCCTTGATGGCAGGGAACATTTCTTCAACATTTCTAGATCGACCTTGGAAAAGTCTCTTGTTTCTTTCTTCCCATAGGATGTAGATTAAAGCATTCGAAGCAATCTTCATAGTAGAAGTAAGCAAGGATTTTCCTTTCCAATAAACACAAGCCCAATCAAAGAGAGCTTCCCATGACAAATGTCTAAACCGCAAGCCATTAAGGGAGAAAAGAGTTGTCGATAAAGAAGTTGCTGCAGGACATTCAAAGAACAAGTGATTCCTTGTTTCCAGAACAACACCACAATAAACGCAATGGAAATCAGTGATAAGCCCCATGCGATGAAGCCTTTCTTTAGTAGGAAGTGTGTCAAGAAAAACCATCCAGACAATTAGACTATGCTTAGGGATTGATTGTGTTGAATTTATTCTTATATCAATTTGAATAAACTGAAATGTTTACATGAAACAGTTAGATTATAAGTGCATTGAGGATCTTGCCTCAACATATCTGAAACATTACAATGAAAAAGATGCAATCTACGCTAAAGCATGAGTTTACACTTACATCATTGTTGAATAAAAACAACAGTAGCCGTTGATGATATTATCTCAGAACTAATGGGCTTCTTATCAAAACCAATAAAGCATGTAGAGGAAAACACAAAAAATAAGTATTAATCCTCAATTTATGGACGTTTTTCCCGAAATATCATCGGTGACCGGTCTATTTACCGATTTAACACCAGTCAGATTATATTTCACGATCTAATACCCGTAGCAGTAAAGCACGCCCCTGACCCGCGCTATACGTTGATTTGGCGCCACGTGGGGTAACGTGCGCCCTCTGTAACGCGCTATATGCTGATTTGGCGCCACGTGGGGTATAGCGCGTCCCCTGAACCGCGCTATATCTGTAACATCCTCCATGCCGGGTTAGTGATTAATTTGCAAAGTTTCAACATTTGGTGATTAAAGTAGAATAATTATATAGTTTAAAAATAAAGGTTGGTAAATATGAGATTAAGATGAGGACCAAATGGTCATTGGTAAGGAAAATTTTAATTAAAATAAAATGTTATGGGGTATATATGATAACCACGTGTGATTTTAGGTTCCAGAACCTCCCATTTCTTCTTCATTCTTCCTTATTTTCTTCTCTTCCTTCTCTCAACGTGGGGCTAGCAATTAAGGTAAGAATCTGAACCTTAGTAGTTTCTTTGATTGTTAAGATTGGAAATGAAAGCTTGGATGTTATATAAGCTAAAGGAAAGCTTATATGACATTAAAACAACAAGATAAGTGTTTTAGAGAATGATTTGGAAAATGAATTTTTAGGGGAAATTTTGATAGGAATGAGTTTTTGATGTTTGAATCAGATTTTTGACTTGTCAAGAAGCTAACTAAGAAGTAGGAGGTGTTAGAATTCAAATTAGAACATATTGGAATTTGGGTTGGATTCTTAAATGCTATATGGAGAATTAGATTTCTAAGTTTTAGAGGTATTTAATGGATAATAGTTAGTTTAAGTAAGTGTATGAGAGCTAAGAGTAGTAAAGGGATTGAAATATGTATGTTTGAGTTGAAATTAGATGATTTTCGGGCTAAAAATAGGATTTCTGGGTTAGGGGAATCGGTACCCATTCAAGGGGAACCGATACCCCCTCAACGAAATGAATTTCCAGAATGTTAGAGGGGAATCGGTACCCCCAGGGGGGGAACCGATACCCCCTCATCGTATATGAAATTCCAGATTGCTTGAGGGGAATCGATACCCCTAGGGGGGGAACCGATTCCCCCATGAGAAAAAAAAAGAAAGAAAGAAAAGAAAGCAAGACTAAGCTATAAATTCTTTAAATTAGTAAGCTATTAAAGCTTAATTGTAAGACATAGACATCTGATGATCATCTTAAAAATTATGTTTATGTAGATACCGAGCCTACTCGAGTTCGGGAACAATCTACAAGTAGAATCGATCGAGGAAAAGGCAAAGAAGTATAGGTGAGTGCATATGCATAGCATGAATATAGTAGTATATTCAGTTCTAGACTTGTGATAAGTCTAGATTCCATATTTTGACATATGATTACATTCCATATTATGATACATGACATGAATTTGTATTAAATGTATTATATGACATGAATTCATATTATACGTATTGCATGACATGAATATGCAGAAAAAGTTATATGCACTATATGATAAAGGTATGTAAATGAGATGCCTATGTGTTAAAGGTATGAAAATACTATGGCTACGCGATATGAACTACGGGAAATGTATAAGCCCATGTTATGTAGATGAGAACTATAGGTATAGTTGGCATGCCAAGGGTAGAGGGTATACTCGGTTCTTTAGGACATATGTATATCCTTTGGAACCTGTGTGAAGTCTTGAAAGACACATACTTGATCCATAGTATATGTATATGATTCTTAAAGAATTCTACGTGGTCCTTATGGACATAATTCTACGGGCACTTCGGTGCAATTCTACGGGCACTTCGGTGCAATTCTACGGGCACTTCGGTGCATTTATACGAGCTGTGGTGACAGCATAGTGCACAACCTCACATTACTCAAATACCTTAGGTTCTCAATATGCTATCATGGGCCAATAAACTTATTAATACTGAATAATGAATGTTACAGTCATACTCTTACAGGTATGGATATTGATGAAGTATACTACATTGATTAGTTACATGTTTGCATCTCATCGCATATGATCCTGACATTTTCATTACATTACATTGCCTTATTATTGCTGCCTCACTAAGTCGATGACTTAGCGTGTGAGTGTTTCACACGTAGGATCCGAGGAATTAGAAGAGACAGGTGAACAGCTTGCCAGTATTACTCCTGCAACCATCAGATCAGAAGCAACTTAATCAGTAGGTCATTTTGTTAAGTAATAGCAGTTGGCATGTAATTAAAGGGTTAAGTTGTGTATGCTCTGAATATTTTTGTAAACTCATATTACAGTATGTATATTATTGTATTCTCTTAATATAAGTTCAAATATTTTACTATTATTTATTAAGAGTTGTGTTTTAAAGTCAATGTAGTATCTCTGACTCATATCCGGGTCGGGTATGGGTTGGGGGTGTTACATTTAATGGTATCAGAGCTATGGTTTAGCCGATTCTAGGCATAAACCAGAGTCTATGGAGTCTTTAAATGGAATACATGCCAACAAATAGTGAGAACTTCTGATCTGGTATAGTATGAGTATGCTGTTTTTGCTAATAGGATAATGTGGTTATTCTTATTAGATGTCCGAACATAATAGCTCCCGAAGTGAAGCGGGAGAAGATAGGCATGCTGAAAGCAGTAATTCACCTGCCCTGGCCAGGCAAGGTGAAGAACAGGCATCTCAAGGAGTGCCTGTGCAAGATCAAGATACGTTCTTTAGAACGTTAGACGCTATTCTGACGCGTCTTCAACCTCCTGCTCCACTAACTCCAAGAATTAATGTAGCAAAAGAGTTGAGAAGTTTAGGAGCTCCCGAATTTAAGGGAGAAGCTGAGGAAGGTCCGGTGTCAGCGGATCTTTGGTTGAATGATTTGAAAATCATGTTAGATGGTCTCCACTGTTCCGAAGTGGAGAAATTAGATGGAGCTGTGTCTTTATTAAGGGGTCAGGCGAGGATATGGTGGACGAATGTCACCATGAGGATGTCAACCGACCAGTTGACTTGGTCTTTGTTTTTAGATGAATTTAAAAGCAAGTATATTGGAGATCAGTTTATCCGCCAAATGAAGCAGGAATTTATGAGTTTGAAGCAGATGAGCCGCTCTGTGTATGAGTACGAATGTGAGTTTAATAAGCTGAGCAGGTTTGCAGCTGAGCTGGTGCCTACTGAAAAAGATGCTTGCGAGTGGTTCGTGGAGGGCTTGCGCCCTAGACTTAAAGAAATGTTGACAGTATTAAACCTGTCCTCGTTCCAGGAAGTGATTAATCGTGCAAAAGCTCTTGAAAGGGCTCAGAATGAACGATTTGGGGACTCAAGAGTTCAGACATCAAAGAGGACGACTACTTATTCTGGTTCAACACCAACAAAAAGGGGAAGAGACTCGGGATTTCGATCACAAGCTAGATCAGAATCAGTTGCATCGTCTGCTAGGGGAGCAAGTCAGGCAAGACCTAGACAGACGCAGTCAGTGGAATCTGGTGTTGGGAGATCTACTCCGGGTCAAGGGAGACAGTGTCAGCAGTGTGGGAAAAACCATTATGGAACTTGTCGTATGGCTGCTGGGACTTGTTTTCGATGTGGAGAGGCTGGACATTTTGTCCGTGATTGTCCATTGATTATTGGTGAGCCGGCACCATCTGGAAGAGCTGGTTCTTTCTCACAAAGAGGACGAGGAAGAGGCAGAGGAAGGAACCCGTCTGAATTCTCTGCTCAACCTGAAGTTCGATCCACTGCTCGAGTATACAACCTAAAGACAAGTGAAGATCGTGATGACCCTGATATTATAGCAGGTACTTTTCAGTTGTATGATAAATTAGTATTGGTACTGATTGATCCGGGTTCTAATTATTCTTATATTACAAGTAAGTTAGTAAAGGAGTTGGGGATTCCCTTAGAAGCTACGAGTAATGAGATTATAGTCACAACTCCGTTAGGCCAGAGTGCCCGGGTGAATAAAGTTTGTAAGGGGTGTCCCATAAAGATTCAGGGAATTGAATTCCCTGCTAATCTGATGGAATTACCCTTTGATGAGTTTGAAGTGATTCTGGGAATGGATTGGTTGTTCCGGTATTATGGAGATGTTAGTTGCAGATTGAAAAAGGTAACTCTGAAAAGTCCAGACGGAATAGAGATAAGTGTGAACAGTGAAAAGTTTAATCCGTTAGCGAATGTAATATCAGTGATGTCTGCCAAGAAATTATTGCTACAAGGATGTCAGGGTTTTCTGGCAAATGTGATTGATTCAAGAGCTCAAGAGAAAAGGTTAGAGGAAATTCCAATAGTTCGAGAGTTCCCTGATGTTTTTCCTGCTGAATTGCCAGGATTACCTCCGGATAGAGAGGTAGAATTCCAAATAGAAATAATGCCGGGAACAGCTCCGATTGCAATGGCACCTTATCGAATGGCTCCGAAAGAATTGCAAGAGTTAAAGAATCAATTACAAGAATTGCTAGAGAAGGGATTTATCCAACCAAGTGTATCGCCTTGGGGAGCTCCGGTGTTATTTGTTAAAAAGAAGGATGGATCAATGCGTCTTTGCATTGACTATCGACAGCTCAATAAGGTGACCATCAAGAACAAGTATCCCCTTCCGCGCATTGATGACTTGTTTGATCAACTAAAAGGAGCTTCGGTATTTTCAAAGATTGATCTACGTTCGGGTTATCATCAATTGAAGATCCAGGAGA